TTCTCCCAGGGGCCAGATCCTCTTCCTCCTCCGCCTGCTGGCTGATTACGTACCAGGGCTTGGATTAATCACACGTAAGTAGGTAGCGGTAGTGGCTGCATTTCCACTCGAAGGGGCTGGAGCTGAGGGTGGGGTGAAAAAAAGCCCCTGGGATATTTGCCACCAGAACACCTACCATTAACACTCCTGTGCTGGTTTAAATCCAGACAGTAAGGAGTTAAATATTTTAGGGACTTAAGCTGCATGATTGTAATGGTTCAAATCCCCCCTGCAGCTAGAGCTGGCTGCATTTCAGTCCTGGGTTCCCTGCACAGCTTTGCCAGAGCACCTCAGTCCAGACCTCCAGTGCACTCTGCTGTGTGGGTCCTGCTCTGTTAATGCCTCTCTGTCCATCTTCACCCACCTCATAAGCACAGAGCTGTGCAAAACCCAGCCCAGCATGGTGACCCTCTCCAAACTGCTACCAGGACATTTAATCCATAGTAGTTTTGTATGGACCATAAATTAAAGAATGGAAACAGTCATACATTTCTGTAGCACCTCTTCCTGGGCACTGCACAAGTTCTCTTCTCCCACTCTTTGCTGAAACACAGCCTTGGCTACATGAGTTTAGTTAGGGACTGTCTTTGCAGCTGATCTTCAGTGCTGAGTTGGGTTACTTGCTGGGGTTGGGGCCCTCCTCTCCCACAGGTTTCTTGCTGTGGGTAGAAGCAGCCCTGGGGCAGAGAGAAAACTCAATTGCGGAGGTGTCCGGGCCTCATTTGTTGCCTCTGTTGTCCAAATTTTAAGGCCTGTTATGGGTCATGTGAGTTTTGTCCTGCTCTGCTCCTGGTGGGTACATTGAAACCACCACTTACCATGGCTCAGTTGGAGATTTTCCTTGGGGAAGAGCTGGGAATGGCATAATGGGCGGCTGTGGGCTGGGATTGACAGGCATCAGTAGAAGTGCGTGTGGGAAATTAATGCTCAAGTGGACAGCTGTTGTTCCCCACTCTGGCTCACCTGGTTCCTCTGTTCTCTCATTTCAGGACCAATGATGAATTACCTGCCAGCTTGGCAGAAAATCTATTTCTATAACTGGGGCTGATGGGGAAGTGGCCCTTTGCTGCTGTGACAGGTGCTGGCTCAGAGTGGCAACGGGATGTCTCTGTGGAGGGCGAACTGGCCGGAGGGATGTTTCTGTCGTATCTATTTTCAGTTAAACCATTGATAAGAGACTCCCATTCTCTGGAGGCGGAGGTTATAACTTTTTTACTTAGCTAGCTGTGAACAATGGACACTGTGGGGGTCAGAGACCTTGCCACCCTGACATGTATTATACCGCGGCTTCAGTGCTGGTCCAGGCCCTTTTTTATAAGCACTTGGGTTTTGTATGGCTACGCAGTAATAAAGGCTGGCAGTGGCACCAGTGCATTGGGGACTAGCTGTCTGCTTTGCCTCTAAGCGCTGGGATTTGCCCTGCACTGTACCTCTTCCTCCTTGTCCAAACTACAGGAGGCCTCTTCCTGCTAAGGAAGCTGGCTGTGCTGAAGAGGAAGCCCTAAGACCCTTTGTCCTCCAAAGGTTTCTCCCCAAGTCTGAGTTTTCTGTCCTGGGTTGCAACTCCCTTCCCTGTTCTCCTCACCCTGGATCACCCCTGCTCGTACTAGCTCATGCACGGCTGCTAGTCCAGTAACACAGCTGTGTGCTGGGGCAAGAGAGCTTTGCAAGGCATGAACATTCTCTCCTCCCTCAGCTGCAGATTTGGGGGCACTGCATCTCTGACTGCCGGCCAACTGACCTCCACCATAGCTCTAGCAGCAAGGGCCACCTCTGCCAGTCCCTGTTTCTGCTCTTTCCCCTGGAGCATGCATCATGCACACATGCTGCTGCCTTGCCCACAGTTGGTATTTTTGGTGATTGGCTCAGGCTGTTTAATTTCCTGCAGCTCCCCTGCAGGTATTGCATGCCACAGTTTTTACATGGCTTTTCTAGCAGCTAATGTGTACTAACAGGCCTTGCTGAGCAGCTGCCAGCGGAGGGGGCTGGCCAAAGCTGGAAGTGCAGGCAAATCAATTCAGCAAACATTTACCTATGTGCACAGTGCAAAGCTTAAAGGCCCGCCTCAGGTCTCTGTGAGCCCTGGAGTAGCTCATGTGACTGGGGTGGTTAGTCTCTCTACAGGCTGAAGAATGGTAAATGGAAACACCAAGTAGGGGTGGTGCAAAGTCCCATTTGCAGAGCTACAGAACGTCCGGTCCTGTAGTGTGAGGTGTGTTCTTGGCCTGGGTTTCTCATTTCCCAACTCCAATCTAGACATTCTTTTCTGCAAATGCTCTTAACGGAAAACTTTTCCGTTAAAAGCATTTGCGGAAAATCATGCCAGTCTAGACATAGCCACACAGTTTGTAGTGTTTAGGATGGAGACTGGAATGGAGCAGAAACAGCTGTATCCATGCAGGGCTAGCAGATCGACCAGAAAGAGAGAATGTGGGCCTCAGGGTTGCTCCTGTTTAGCACAGGACAGCCAGTTTGGCTTGTATCATTCATGCAATATATCTTAAGTACTGCATGAATGAGACTGCAGCTGCATGGGCCTATGGGCTGGGGAGTATGCTCCATTCAGTCAGAGGCGCCTTTTGGAGGGAGCGAAAGGAGGACTTCACCCAGCAGAGGCAGATATCTGGCAAGAGGGAAGCTACCAAGCTGCAGATTATGGATACGTGTACAGAGGAAGATCAAAGCTGCTGCTGTCCATCTTCCAGGGTTTGAATTAGTGGGTCTAGTTAAGACAGCTAATTTGAACTGAGAGGTGTGCTCCAGTCTATGCTGTCAGTCTTGCTTCCACGAGGAGTAAGACGTCTAAGGGAGAGTATTCTCCCTGGCCGTGTCCAGACTCAGGGGTTCTTTCGAAAAAAGTAGCCTTTTTTCGAAAGAACTTCCCCTGCGTCCAGACTCAAGCCACGTTCTTTGGAAATTATTTCGAAAGAACGCGGCTTTTCTTTCGATGGCGGTAAACCTCTCTTTACGAGGAAGAACGCCTTCTTTCGAAAGTTCCTCAATGTAAAGAGGCCGTCTTCGAAAGAGAGCATCCAGACTCGCTGGGTGCTCTCTTTCGAAAAAGCGGATTTCTCTTTCGAAAGATCCGCCTGCAGTCTAGACGCGATCTTTCGAAAGAGGCTTTTTCGAAAGATGCTTTCGAAAGAGGCTCTTTCGAAAGAAGCCTGCAGTCTAGACATAGCCCCTTTGATTTCCTGGAGTGGGGACAGCGCCAAACGTCAAGGTACTTCGACTTCAGCGACACAGTTAACATAGCTGAAGTTTGTGTAACTTAATTCAGCTTTGTCCTGTAGTGTAGACATACCCTTAGGGAAGAGGTGAGGATTGCAGGAAGAGCCAAAGGCTTTGAGGCAAACAGGTAGAGAGTTCAACAGAAGGAGGGCAATTGTAAACTATCAAAAAAATGAGGATCCAGTGATGACTACACAGGACAAACGGTACAGCCGTGCCTCCCACACTTACTTAGACACACTATTCCTCCAGCTGGTTTGCCAGCCCTAGGAGAGCCAAAGAGGTGGCTTTGGTCAGGTGTGGAGGTAATGGATTGCTGTGTGTCCTGGATCCTGGGCTGCATGTGACCAGCTGCAATCCTCTAAGAGCTGCTCCTGCAGGCAATAGCCTTTTAAAATTAGCTTAAGGGACTGGCTCTGTACTGGACCCCACTCAGTTCAGAGCAGCTCTCAAATCCTGGTGGCAGATGCATTGAGGTGGCTGAAAGGGGTAGATGGCTATGCTACCATCGCAATTACATTCAAACGGGGTATTTTTGTCTAGACACCTACATAGTTTATACCTATATCGTCCCCACCTTGATACTTGGTGCCAGGCTTGCCTCTGCCGCTCTACATCCAGCCAGCAATGCTGGCCAGTGCAAGTGACCCTGCCTGCGGTGGCCCTTTTTTGTGATGTCACAGTAGGGATTCATGGTGTCATTATGTTCCATCAATGAAAGAAAAGGAGAAGAGGTTGAGTTCAGCAAGAACACAACCTAACGGGGCTGAGCTCTCTAGGCTGCATGATGCTGCACCTGCTACTGCCACTCCTGCTGGGGGCCGTGCTTCCAGTACCACTTCTCCACAGGTAACCTAGGCCCTGCAGTGTTTGGGCCCACTCCCTCTTCCTCCAGGTACTGGCCCTAGAATACATGTAGGTGACTTGGGCACAAGATGAGCTGAACCCAGGCCCTCCCCAGCTGGGAACTGGAGCAGGTGTTTTGCCCTGTTTGGGCCAGGCAGAAGAACCAGCGTGCACACAGCCTATTTGCTGCCTCTTAAACCATCATACACCTGCCCCCAATCCCAGGGGGCACCTTTCCCTTCCCAGCCTACCTGTCACTGAGCTGCTGCAAGCTGTATAATGCAGCCTGCTGTAGGGAGGGAAGCTAGCACACAAGTCACCTGCCCACATTAAGGGCACTTGTCAAATGCTAGCAATCTGGCCCAATCAGCTGGTTTCCTGAAGCCCTTGGTGCTGCTCCACCCTTCAGCTTTAACAGTTGCCCGAGGCTCTCCTAAGCCAAGTGCAATTACTCACCTTCTCCATCCTGCCCTTCTGCAGCACTCAGGCTGGCGCAATCGCTGTTCCAGAGAGGCACAGAAATGCTCCAGCAGTTCCTGCCCTGCCACTGGGATGTCTCAGCCTGGGAGCTGCCTGCTCCCCTGACCCTGCATTTCTATTGCAGGCTCAGCGACACAGTCCCTGAGGATTTTGCTGTTCCCCTGGAGCTCCCACAGCAGCACTTTGGCCTGGTGGATGGTACCAACTTACTCTGCTCTAACATGCTGTCATAGGGCCATGGCCAGTTCCTCTTCAGCCTCCTCCATGCACTCAGCAGGTGCACTGCCTCCTGTGCCAGCAAACCAAGTGCCCACTGCCAGGGCATGTGAGAGGAAGGCTCACTGTGCTGGGTGGGGGTGAGGGTGTTACTCTGTTCCCCAGTCACAGGTCTATGGGGGGGGGGGTTCCTCTCAGGGGTATAAGCCTGACTCTTGAGACTTGCTCTGTGCAGGGCTCCTGCTTGCAGGGGCACCGACAGGCTTCCCAGCCCTCACCCCACAGTGAGCTGGATGAGCCTGGTTTGCTGTGTGAGGGGTCCACTTCAAAGCCTTGTCAGGCTCAGTGCACCTTCCCCAGCAGCCAAGGCAGGATCATTCTCTACCCCAGCACTAGAGCATAGGAGCAAATTTCAGTAGAGGCAAGCAGGCCCAATGCCCCTGCAAGCCCTGCATGGTAGGAGTTACTGTTTTCAAAGGCCCATCCAGGTGAGCTGCAGCCTCGCGGAGCTAGCAGGATCTGCAATCACTGGCAGCTGTGGCTCCCCCAGCAGCCTGTTGCCGTACCGACCACTGGCCACCAGTCCAAACTGCAGCTAGCCCTCCTGCCCCCTGCAGTTCAGTTGGCCAGGCTGTGGGGCAAGCCTCTGAGAAGCCAGCCAGTGCCAGCTGCACCTCATTGGCAGTGATTTTACCTCCTGGTGCATGGACACATAACAGGTACTTGCTGTTGCTGGCTATTCTTGTGCATGGCACAGAAGCGGCTGCTACTATAATGGCTGTGCTGTACTAGGAGTAGCTATGACTAGGGTGCTGCTACTGCCAGGCTTACTCTTCCTAGGGGAGAGGGGGTGCACATGTGAGTGCTGGACCCAGACTTGGATCACTAGTATCTGCAGGTAGTTTCCCCCCAACAGAAGCGGTTTTGGGCCTTGCCTGTCTTCCCCTCTCCCTCACCAGCTCTGTCCTGCTGTAGATTATGGCATTAAACCGAAGCATCCCCAGTTCCAGACTCGAGCCCCCCGCCAGCAGCCAGCAGGCCTGCACCAAGCACACAAGAGCAAGCGAGATGAGCCAGACATGGCAGAGTATTATGATGATAATGTCCTGTGAGCGACCAGTGGACTCCCTGCAGTGGAGGCGCTAGGAGCCCAAGGGCTAGGACTGCCAGCTCCGCCCTTGTGCACCAACTGTTTTATAAAGATGCCCTGTACAGCAAGGCAGGCGGAAGGGGCTGTGTAACTGTGTGTGGGGGAAGAGGGTGCTGAAGGCAGAGGTTTGCCCCTGTGCCACACTTTGCCTCTTTCCCCCAGATGTTTCTTCAGCTGCTGGAGAGGAGGTAGCTGAAGATGTAGCCTCGAATAAAGGTTGCCTGGTGCCACCTGAGTGTAAGTGTGGGGATCCCAGGCACAGAGAACTGAGACCAGTCATTTATAGACAGCTTCCAGGTAAAATGCTCTCCCCTGATCATCAGTCTCTCAGGCTTGGGGAGCTGGGGGGTGCCATCTCTCCGAGAGGAGGAGGCCTCTGGAAATGAGAAAATGGGGTGTGGATGGGAAGCCCATTTAGCAAGGCTGTGACAGAGAAGAGCTACTGGCCTTACCCAGAACTCTGGTTGACATAAAGAGACACTTTGAGCGGCTCCATGAAACTTTGTTTAATAGTTGCTGCCACCACAGCAGATCCAGCAGGCCGAGACCGACTAGAGCGGAGAAGTGTCATCCCTTATATATTAGCACAGCTCACCGCAGGCCGGAGCCCCTAGCTGCTCCCACTGCTGGCTCAGGTTCTGATGCCTCTCCCCCTTGATGGGGCCAGTGCCATTCTGGTGACTGGGAAAGAATTCATGTTGTGCTCATCCCACTCTGGGCAGGCCAGAGTTACTGCCTCTCCGCAGCTCCCAAACTTGTACCCCAGTATGCAAGTAGTCCCCAGCCCCTGGCACCCACAGCTGGTGGAGGGAGGAGCAAAGGATTCCTCCCATCTGGAGACTGAAGGGTGGGAGGCCCAGAAGAGCTCCTCCACCCTTACAGGATGGGGGTGGGTGTCCACTGACGCATCTGTTCCCAGCTCCTCCTCTCAAACTCCTCAACAGGGAGAAGCAATGGGGCCCCATAGTCTCAGCCCAGGCTAATATTCACCCCTGGAAAGCAGGCTTCTCTCAGGATGCTGAGGTGGTAATGGCAGGGAGGCTACAAACCAGGCTGCTTTTCCCTCTTGGGGAGAGATCAGGGGCGAGTGCCTCTTCCATGTGGTACCTCTCAAATGATTCCAAGGCTTTTAGCAAATGCCCCTCTCTGCCGTGCCCAGCCCACGGCCCCTGTCCCACAGGGGAGGGGAGACGCAGAACTACCCACTATCCCCTTCAGTCAGGGCTTGGGCTGGCCTGTTCCTATCAGCTCCTGTTCTCAGCAGCTGATGTGGCTTCACATTGTTAGTCCAATGCTGCCCGAGAGTTAAACATCAACCTGAGGGGCCAAGAAAGGGAGCTGGAGAAAGCTGGCTAGGGCTGGAAGCCAGGCCAGGAGCTGGGAGGAGTCCTCACTCCAGCGCTCAGGCGGGAAGGTGATGAGCATTCTCTCAGGACACCAGGCCAGCCCTGACTTTCACTGTGACAGGCTGCTCTCTCCCTGGCCAGCTCCAGTGCCAGCACTGCTCTCTTGCCCCCAGCTGCCGCTTCCCCCTTCAGAGCCTACAGCCATGCCCCATGCTGTGCCGCCACAGCCCTGCCTGTGGCACTGGTGCTTCTTCAATATAGTAAACTAAAGGAGAATTTTACAATAAACCCCATTTTCAGCCCGCCCCCTCCCATCCCCCCCAACCCCCGGCCCGCCCCATGCTGGGCTGCCACAGCCCTGCCTGTGGCACTGGTGCTTCTTCAATATAGTAAACTAAAGGAGAATTTTACAATAAACCCCATTCTCAGCCCCCCCCCTCCCATCCCCCCCAACCCCCGGCCCGAGGAAGGGGAGTCCTGAAAAGAGGCAGTGCTCCATGCACTAAGGAAGCCATCCCCTGCTCCGTTCCTCCTCCAGTGTCAAAGCAGCTTGTCCATGCATGATGGGGAATGGGCAAGTTCGCTGGTCCTGTCTGTACAGAAGGGTGCCTGGCCCGGCCCCTACTCCAGGTAGATGTCCTCTGTGGGGCATGTGTACTCCACATACTCCTTGTAGAACTGCTGGAAAGCCCTCCTGCAACAGACAGCAGAGAGCAGGCTGAGGCATGGCACGGGTGGCTCCCTCACACAAGCTGCCTGTGCCTTGCATGTACACTCCCCCTTTGGTCAGGGATTCTGAACAGCTCTCCAGCTCCCATCAGAATTCAGGGGTTTATTTTCAGAGTTCTACAGACTGGAGCTGGAAAGACCCCATTAGTCTATCCCCTGGGGCCCAGGGCAGGGTTGGCCCCTGCTCTCTCTCTCCAAGGCTCTGTCAGCCCCCTGGAATGTCCCCAGTGATGGTCTCTGCCTTTCCTTTTGGGGCCAATCCCTCAGTCTCCTTCGCCATGCAATGCAGTTTGCACACCCTGTCCCCAAGCATCCCTGCGGCTTGTTTCAATGCTGTTCTCTTGAACCTAGCACAGGCTTTTTGCTGGCCCCCGTTCCTGTCATGGAGGGTTACTGAAGCAGCCCATCTTCCTGTGCACTCCTAGGATGTTAGGGGGCTCTTGGGCAATAGGAGGACAAAGGTCTTAGCCCTTCGAAGTCCTGAAAACCCTCCATCTTTTGGAGGGAGGAGCAGTAGTTTGTGAATGGAGACACAGAGGCCAACTCCAGCCCTGAACCATTCACTGGGCATTGCACAGCAGTAGGGAAATGGCAGGGACGCAGAGCCATAGATCTCACCACTGAATAGCTAGGACGACTCAGGTCATCCACGTGGTGTCACTACTGAGAGTACCTGTGTGCGCTCAGTGACACACAGTGGCAAAGAGCAGCATTTCCAAACCAGCCTGCACAATTGCTCCACTCCGGGGTGGCACAGGGGGGTGGGGAATTGGATCCAGAGCCTTTCACCTCTAGGCACCAATCCAGCCCAAGGCAACAGTTATCACCATACAATGTCTCAGCTGGTTGGGGCCTCCTGTGAAATCAGTTGTTGGCCTTTGGTCCAATGTCCAAGTCCCAAAGCTACTGCACAGTGGGCTTGTTCTAACTGGCCCCTGACCCTAGATGTCAGTCCCCATATTTTCTCTGTGCAGCACCAAACTGCCCTGGAAAATACTTGGGAGTTTAAGTAACCTCGTTTAAGTACTCTCTCCTGCTGCCCAACCCAGAGCACCCCACCCCTGCTCAGCTAGGCAGCTCCAGTCTGTAGCCCATGGTCCATAGTAGGCAAGGGCACCACAATTCAAACCAAGGCAGAAGCACCCCAGGGCACAGCTTAGCCTAGTCTCATAGCCACAGCAGGAAATGGAGCCTGGAGCAGTGACTGCCAACTGCTGCCCTGGAAAAGACATTTTCCCCTTCCTCCAACTGCCCTCTGGACTCACCCTACAGACTCTGCAAGTGGCTTGGTGGACTCCTCTGAGACGAAGACATGACAGGCGAATCTGTGGTCAGCTGGGTGCTTGGTGATAAACCCAAAATATCTGGGAGAGGAGAGAGCAGGTGAGGTTGGAGCAGAGACAATGCACAGGGCTGTGCTGGAAAAGCAGGGGTTTGCTTTCCAACCAAGCTGCATGCCCCATTAGAGCAACAGCCCAGGATCCAGGAAACATTCACAGCAAGGCCCGACTTACATTTGGGGAAGTGGGGAAGAGTAGGAAGGGCACGGAAACTGGGATCCAGCCACTCTAATTCTGGTGCCCGGGGAACAAAATTGGGCTGGGAAGCCCCACGAAAACCATTCCCAAAGAATCACTGCCAGAGATTATGTAAATACCCAGCACTGGGCAGGGTGAAATGGGGAAAAGAGGAAATTTCCCAACGGGAAAAACCCTTCCACTGTCCAGTGACTTAGCTTTGGTCCGATAATCGCACACTGCCCCTCCCTCACCCCACCTTTGGACACACGACAAATACCTTTCCTCCCAGCATCCTGGGACAGCATCACACTCCCAGTGCTGGTCCCTGCCTGAAACTGCTGGGAAAGTGGGTAGCATTTACAAGGAAGGGAAACCCACAGGGAAGAAGGGGAAGGTGACGATAGCTGGAAAGCCCACCTCCCGCTAGCTGCCAGGAAACACAGCAGTCTATAAGTAGCAGGCTGAGAAGGAATGGGGCCCCAAGGTCAGGATTGTGGAGGCCCTTGACCCCTGCAGCACTCACTTGTTGTTCTTTGGATGGTACCCACAGAAGGAAATGTTCTTGAGCTGGAAAAAGTGACTACATTTATTTCCCTGTGGGGCAGAGAAAAGAGCTGTCAGACTCAGGCCTGTGCTGCTCCAGCAGTGGTCCCCAACGCGGTGCCTGCGGGCGCCATGGCGCCCGTCGGGGCATTTGTGTGCGCCCGCCAACAACCTGGGCCGGCCCCGCCCCCGGCGCGCGGTGCAATGGAGGCGCCGGCCCCAGGCGTGCGACACGCACCAGCGCCTGGTGCGCGGCGCTCGGGCGGCTCCAACCCCGGGGCACATGCGGGCGCGCAGTGCCAATCCCGGCCCCAGGCGCGCGGCTCGGGCACAAGGCGCTTGGGCGGCCCCAGCCCTGGGACACATGCCAGCGCCGGGTGCAAGGGCATCCCAGCCTCTGGCGTGCCCGGCGCGTGAGTGGTCCCGCCCCCGGGCGCCTCTAAAGGTTGGGGATCACTGTGCTAGAGTGATACAGGGTAGCCTTTAGGGGGCGCAGGAGGGGGACATACTGCCCATCTCTCACCAGAACTAGGTCCCACATGACAGTGTCTCCTGGCTTGGCCCCCCATTTGTGCCTATCACAAACCTCTATACAGTTTGACACAGCTGGTGGCTGCTCTGTGGAGGTCTGGGCCGTAATACTTCAAGGGGGCTGTATGTCAGGATCAGGGAGGCGTGGCCAGGGCTGTGAGGGAGGGGAGGGAGAGTCCAGGACAGGGATAATTATCAGAACTGAGGTGCATGAGCAGGGCTGCGGAGAAGGCCTGGGGCTGGAATTTCAGGGGGTGTTGTGAGTGAGGTGCCTTGTTAGAGCTGGGGAAGCTTGCACAGCATTTGCAGACACTATGCATGGCACTAGCTGGTAGCTTGAACTTCTCCCTGACATGACCTCTCAAGGGGCTCTGTCTACTTGTGAAATCCCATCTCTTATTGGGAGGACTATAGCTACCCCTGTGGCAGGTTAAGCCCCTGGATCCCATCTCTGACAGCGATTAGCAGTCACAGCGGGCACAGCATTTTCTTGTGGGTGTGGGTGTGTTTTCTTTGAGAGACAAGGAAGGTGGGTGAGGTAATATCTTTTACTGGACCAATTTCTGATGAGAGAGATGATTTCAAGCTACACAGAGCTCAGTACCTTTGTGTTCCTTTTGAAAGTACTTTTAGAGTCAGTGTCACTGGTTGCCCTGGATAGTCAGTTTTTTCCCTTGCTGAAAAGACCTTTACAGACCCCAGTGAGGGAGCACAAAAGCTGTTATATGTATGTACAGTGCTTTTTTTGTGACGGTACTGCCCGCTACGCAGTATCGGCACCTCCAGTCAGAGCTCAACAACTTTTCCCCTGGAGTACCGGCACCTTTTTTTTTTTTTAAACAAAAAAAAGCACTGTGTATATATATAACTTAACATCTCTAAGCAAGGGTCTTTCCCATCCATCCCCACAGCTTAAACTCTCCTCTAGACTCTCATGCTGGCGCAGCCTTGCCCTACGCGCCTCCATTCAGAATGCTGCATCGCCCACAGGTTACATGTTCAAATAAACATCTTTGCACTTTCGCCCATGCTGCCCCATCTGATTGGGAGGGGCTCCCCATGAACACCCAGAATGCTAACACAAGTCATTGTCTACCTTAAAACTCCTCACTTGTGACATCTACTGGCAGGTTGACACCACTGCCTACCATGATGACCAAACTCATCTCATTATTTCCTTGTATTCCCCTATGTCCATCTCTGGTTTCATGCTTAGCCTGGAAGCTCTTTGGAGCAGAGACCATCTTTTTGTTCTCTCTAAACAGCACCTAGCTTATAGGGTTCCTGGTCCTTGAATAGGTCTCATCTCAGGCCTAACTGTTTAAAGGGTTCCTAAATAAAAGTTTTTAAAATAATCAAGTTGACATGTGACTCAAATACAGCCTATGTAAAAATCCCAGTCCTTATTGCTCAGCACCCTTGAATTACTCCGGCAGGGAAACTGCTTTACCATTTGGGAAGGTTTCCAACTGGCTTTGCCTACAGGCCTCTTGTAGCTTTGCACCTGCCTCTTGCAGGCTCTGCACAGGTTACTTATGCAAAACGCAAATGGGAAGCCTCCAATGTCCATCTAAAGAGCTTTGCTGCTGCAATACAAGAGCAGCACTCAAAATAGCAGCAGCAGGGTTTAGACACAGCTCACAGATTATCAAATCAGCTCTACTCACTAACACTGCAGTGAAGTAGTGCACCCTTCGGCTGGGAGGGTGGACGTCAGTGTTAGGGCTTGGTGGACAGGAGGATCCTGCTGCCCTTAGGGGCTGCGAGGGTGGGTCTTGGTGCTAGGAGTCTTTGGGTGGCCGTGGGAAGGTAGATCCCACTGTGCTTGGGTGGGGTACATCCTCTTGTATAGATTCCAGAACCAGAGATCAGGATCAACCAATCAGGTAGAGGTGCAAATCACAGATCTCTCACTGCATCTATGAATAGTGTTCTTACTGTAGTGAGCATGAGCTAATTTGGAGCTGTGATTGCAGGGTGATATGCTGGGCACTAGGAATATGAACAGGTGGAGCAGGAATAGCCCTGAGATGTAAGTGAGCAGAGCTCAGGGGACGGGGGTCTGTTACCTTTTGCTCCTTGGAGTCATCAGATTTCACAGCAATCTTGACACCTCTTACATTGATCTCCAGGATGCAGCTGGAGGGTGGGTTAAAGTGCACAGTGAGGCGGCGAGTGGTGGCGATCTGGGAGGAGACAAAAGGACAGACCATGTCACTCACAAAACACATGAGAACCTACCACCCTCAATCCCCCCAATGAGGTCTTGGCTCCCTCCCATTCCCAGGGAAATGATTTCCTTGCTCCCAGATCTTCCCAGAAAGCTCTTTGCTCTGCAGGTAGGAATGTAGGTTCTTTGCCCCCCAGGGAGGCCAGGACTTGAGGGCTGCTGTACCTTCTGCATAGCCGCACACAGCACGTCATTGCCTTTGTGATACGGGACCTGGACTGAGCCAAGGAACTTCACCCGGAACTGATCCATCCAGTCACCATTCTTGGTCAGAGCTGGAAGTTAAAGCCCCAGACAGATGAGAATGTGCAGTCCCCTCCCCCATATTAGTGCTTACTCACCCCTCCCACCCAGAGCATCAGTGCAGGCCTCTGCACACATGCACCCCCTGCCATGATATCAGTATGTGTCCACACAACTGCGACCTCCCCAAACGCACACACACACCATCCCAAGGATGCACCTTCCTAAAGTTCCATGCAGGCAGAGGGACTAGGCCACCGAGCTACACAGCTCTCTATTGGCTTCTTTGCTGCAGTTTGCACAATGTACTGCTCTCTGCGCTCCAGCAAGACTGGCACAGTCTGGTCAGGAGGGGTCTGCGGCTGGACTAGCAAGGGGAGTGCTACAGACCAGGCTTCAGAGGCAACATCTGAACTGCAGTGAGGGGTCCAGTACCTGTGACATGGTCAGGATCCTTGGTGACCTCGATGGCATAGTAAGCAGGGAAGATGCCCCGGTCGCCTGTTCTCATGTTGTAGGCCTCATACCAATAATCTTCTGCCTGCACCTCCACCAGCAGAGGGTCGTCCACCTCCAGCTCTAGTTCATCCACGTGACGAGGCACAAACCTGAGGGCAAGTCACCAGCACTTTGCCAACCAGGAGCACTGGTTGCCTCTTAGCTACAACACTGCTTAGCAGCTAGGGACAGAGAGAATCTTCTGTGCTAGTCTTCCCCCAACACCTCTCCATGGTCCACTTCAGGAGTGCCCACTCTGATCTCCAGCCAGCATGTGTCTCTGGGCAGGACCTTGTCCCACTCCTTTCTGATGGGGAAGTTTCAAGACTGCACAGCTCCCTGCCGTACATGCTGATATCTCCAGCAAGCCAGTTTGTGTAATGGCCAGTGTCTGCGTGTTGCTCTGTTCTCAAGGCAGTGGGCAAGGCACTATTAGCAGCTACAGCCCACTACTCAGCTCCTTCTAAGCAAGCCCATTCATTCTTACACAGGGAAAACATAATAAAACAACAAACTGATTTAAACACACACGAACCATACCAGAAGTCACCCACCAGTCGTATGAGACCCTAGTAGGCCAAAGTCTTTCTAAACCTTCCACAAAGGAGACCCTGCAGATGGAAGGTCCTATCCACTTGTTGGATCAGAAAGAAAGCCCTGAGACAGTTCAATCTCATCCTTTTACACCCAAAGGCAGCTTTGTTTCCTGGCCTTTGGAACCCTTGGGCTACGTCTACACTGCAGGTTTCTCGTGCAAGAACTGTTTTGTGCAAGAGTTCTTGTGCAAAAGCTCTTTCACAAGAGCACATCCAGACTTCCATGTGCTTTTGCGCAAGAGATGTGCTTTTGCGCCAGGGCGTCAATGGCAGTGTGGACGCTCTGCTGCACAAGAAAGCTCTGATGGCCATTTTAGCCATAGGGGTTTCTTGTGCAAGAAATTCATGTTGCCTGTCTACACTGCCTTCTTCTGGAAGAGGAAGAGGGCTTATTCCTTGTGCGGAGAGGAATAACTCTTCTGGAAGAAGCCCTGTTTTCCGACGCTGTACTGTAAATTTACTTGCACAAGAACACTCGTGCAGTGTAGATGCTCTGCAAGTTTTTGCACAAGAATAGCTGTTCTTGCGCAAAAATCCTGCAGTGTAGATGTAGCCCCCGTGTAATGCAGCATATACAAACCACGGCACAGCATGTGCATTCCTTCCAGCTGTTTCGTCTCCATGACTCGTTCGAATCAACCCTCACTGGTTTTAGTTCCTGTTGGAGCTGTGGTGACCCTCCCCTGGGGCGTGGGAAACAATTACACCTACACCAGTCATAGGCAGAGATACTGCATGTGACTGCAGCATTAGAAACAGGCCGGAGGTGGCCCCAGAGCTGCAATTGACTGGTACCATCCACACTGCTCAGAGGAGCAGAGCAGGCTGGGGCCGGGGTGCTCTGCTTCCTGCCACCGCAATGAAGTGGAGGCACCCAGCTCGGAGATGGGGGCAGAGTGAAGCCGGTTGCTGCATCACTCCACTTCCTGCTGCTGGCCCCAGGCCTCCCAGGTTGCGCTGGGCCCCATGGCTAACATTAATATGGAGAACCATCATATCCATCCAACAATTGAAACAGCTTCCCTGGGTCCCCCAAAAGCATGACTCTGCCTCTAGATTTCCTTGGAGAGCTTCCATCCCCGTAGGGAGAAGGTGTGATGTTGCTTAGCCTGTGCACCAGCTGGAAGTGGGGTGGATACAGGCCAATGACAGGAGTTTGGCAACTGGTGCTCTCCCTCTACCAGAAGTATGTTGATGAGAGGGGGCTCAAGTCAGGCAAGGCACAGAGCATGAGCTGCTGTGAGGAAGCCTTCCCCCTTCTACCCTCCTTCTCCCCCCCCCCCCCCCCCAACGACAACAAGCGCTCTGTGAGAA